CTTCACAATCGTTACGTACTACGATGCCTTATGCTGGCTTTCTACGCTGAAGAACTTGTCCGGGCGCTTGGGTCGGTGGATACTACGCTTGCAGGAGTACGAATTTGACATAACTTACAAGTAAAGCAGAAAACTTCAAGACGCCGACGCTTTATCTCGTTGCCCGCTTCCAACTACCCATATCAGCGTTGGTGAGAACTCAACCACCACATCTACCAAATTTCATACGCTTGCATCAATAAGACAACCTTTTTAAGACGACGAGCCAAGATTTATCTCCCGCCAGCGGTCCAATTCACACTACCGACGCATGATGGGCCACCCTTCGGGAGTTTCTCGTCCACCAAACGCGCGACTCCATCGTCAACTCCTGCACTTTAAGATTGACAATGGCGTTTTCTACCACCACGTCTACCACCCTGACGGTCAGCGCTGGGTTCCTGTACTGCCACGCCCTCTTCGACTTGATGTGCTCGAAGGCTTTCACGACGACCTGACGGCTGGTCATCTTGGTTTTAATATCTCTTGACCGCATTCAATGTCGTTATTACTGGCCTGGCCTTTCTTCTAGTCTAGCGCGGTACGTCAGTTTCTGCTACCAATGCCAGGGTCGTAAACTCCCCACGTCTGCACCTGCTGGACCTCTACAGCCACTTCCGTGCCCTTCAATGTCGTTCGAGGTTGTAGGGGTTGACCTATACGGGCCTCTCCCCGTCACATCTGCTGGCAAACGATGGATAGTGACCACCGTGGACCACCTGACACGCTACGCTTAGACTTCCTCTGTTATTACAGGCTCAGCTGTGGAAGTTGCAGACTTTATTCTTCACGCCGAAATCCTGCGTCATGGGGCTTTTATTCATGGGGCTCCTGCTTAGTGACCGCGGCAAAGTGTTCCTGTCCCAAATGGTTAATGAGGTACTGCGCGCTTCTGGAACTACTCACAAGACAGCTTCAAGCTACCACCCTCAGACAAATGGTCTCACAGCAAGATTTCACCGAACCCTTGCTCACATGACAGCCGTTTACGTCCAACCCGACCACAAAAACTGGGATACTCTTTTACCACTCCTGGCATTCACTTACAACACCACTGTTCAGCGAACAATTTGCTACTCACCGTTTTACCTCGTGCATGGATGCACCCCGACTACCTTTCTCGACGTCTCCTTCTTTAACAACCATGGAAATTCATGTCAGTCTCCTAGCAAAGAATACATTTCCCGCCTGGCCCAGTCTCGCCATCAGGCTCGCATCAATACTGATGCGAGACAGCACGAGCGGAAGATCATCTATGACGCATCCCACTGCGTTGTGTGTTTCCAACCTGGTGACGAGGCGCTGCTTTTGACACCTATTCGCACTGCTGGTCTCTGTCACAAATTCTAACCACGCTTCATCGGGCCATACATTGTTTTAGAACAGACTTCACCAGTCAATTATTGTGTGACACAGCTCGTCGCCCCAACTGACCACCGCTACCGCAGCACAGAGATTGTCCACGTCTGTCGCATGAAACCTTTCACGCGACGTTCCCCGTCAATTCAACTTACGGCAGCCAGGGTGTCCGCTTCCAAGTGGGGGGAAGTAGTGTGGGCATTTGTTACTTACATCGTACTCATCCCTGCATGATCACAATCACCATCATCCGCTTGTCTCTTTGTCCTCATTGCCACTCTGGGTCATCATCATCGTCATTGTCTGTGTACTGGCTTGCCCTTTCGTTTTGCGAGATCTTCCTTCAATTAAACACTACGCAGCCAAGACTACCAAGACTTCATAATATTAAAATATATTACTTGCACTCCAATTGAATATGTATTTTTGGCAACTCAACATTTTTTAAAGCAACAATACAAAGATTGTGGAAATTCATAGTATTCCTTAAATGGTAATATTTACCATAATTTGTGCCCCTGTTAGTCTATTTTTATCTCATAGCTTTTAATATGAGTTATCAGTAGATAATAATAAGGACATTTTATTGAAAGGCAACTGACGCGAGATATTTTTGTCAAAATAACGTCCTGTAAAAGAGATTGTGGGCTAAGGCCTAAAACCCACTACTGCGTCTTATGCCTCTTATCAACAAGTATTTAGATGAAGTATAAACTGCCATGCACTGAACCATGTGGGTAGGCACATGCATGAGCATAGGCCGACTTAAGACGGATAGTAATAGTGTTGAGTAGATCGACAGAAAATTAACAGAAATGTCGAGTGAAAAGTGGATCTCATTCATGTTCACTCAAGAAATAAATTTTGTTCTTATGGCTGACTCGAACTCGTCCGCAAATTTTCCTGAACCGGACTCTTGGACTAAAACTTCCCAGATTGTTACTCCCCCAATCTCACTCCGACTCAGACTTGCTTCTTGATCTGAATATGAGTATGTTGACGCAGGAATAAGTTTGCTGACCTATGTATATTCCACTCTGGTATACAATATTCTTTTGCACAAACCGCATCTTCATCAGTAACAATAAATCTAGCCTGGTCAGGTGATTTCCACATCATCAAAGAACACCCGACAGTCCTACAATTTACTGAGAACACAAAGTCTGAACACATTGTGGAACTGCTGACAAATAAAAGGCACAGAAACTGAAGCCATGCACCAGTGTGTATATTTTACTTCTGAATACATTGTTAATTACACTAACACAAAGCGTTTTTACAGCAATTGTTGTATACAAGATACTACATATTCTGTCGTATTATAGTTTTCGAACGATACTAAAAAATAAAATATATACAAAAATCAACAGAGACTCTGCTAGTTAGGCACTTGAATATGGGAGCCCGTAGATTACGCATTCTAATGTTTTGTAGCTTTCATATAGCAATATATACAAAACTAGATTTACAGCAGCCATTAGTACTAAGCTCGTTTGTATGTCTGGTGCACAGCAAACACATATCTGTTTATATGCCTGAGGGACAATTGGACATGGCATCCTAGGCCCAATGACAGTACTTTATGTGGTGTTCACTAGGGCAGCAGAATCCACAATGTGAAGAGCCACGCAATTTTCGAAAAAAAATATCTTAGTTTCTTTCTCTACGTGAAAATTTGACTTCCCTGAGTACAAGGTCCTAAAAATGCAATGTTAAAAGGTGATGCAGATTACAAATAAAATAGTTTTATAAATTTTATCCACTTCTACGGGGCTTCAAAGCTTGCCAACACTTTGAAAGTAGCACGAATAAATAGCTTAGAGTTTTTGAAGTCTGTATTCATTGGTACTGATGTTGAAACTACCAGTTCCTTTTTTAGCATCCATTGCAATGCAAAGCCTTCAAGGGCCTTGATAGTGCTCCAGTAAATATCAGTGCAATTTGAAAAATTCGGTGCACATTAGTATAAGTTCCTACTGTACCCTGACACCACGACATGATAAAAACCTTTCGTCACATTCTCACCCAAGCTCAAGATATTGACACATTTTCACGGTTGGCTCTGTTGGTGACATACAAGCAGCCATTTTCTTTGTTTTGTCCCTGACATAATTAACACTGCCCATACTGGTGCACAGAATCACCACAACAACACTATTGGGTCAACATTACAACATGCACCATCGTAAGGTAATATTTTCTACCTTTCCCATATTTCACACTAGCTCATAGTGATCTACATATAAAGGATATATGTGTGGCAGAGTTAAGTGAGCTTTTATAAATGGTGTTTGTTCCCCTTTCAATTGACACAAAAAATTATTTCAAGATATCGCATTATGCAGCTTCAGCAAGCCATCCGCATGGGTCCATTGCAGTCTAGTGTTACAACAAAATCAAAAACTAGCACATAGCTTCCAATCTGCTTAGAGAGAGGCCAGAATGCATTAATGCTAATTTTGTTATTATAAAATCTAAGATCATCATACCCATCGGTGACTTGATAATCTTTCGGAGCTTTTTGACTACTTTCCGAATCGCCGTGAACTTCGGTGACAATAAAAAAATCATCCCATAGAATCGGTTCATGTTCGAGCCTAACAATGTCCTCACCTAGCTCATTTGCACTTGCATGGGTAAAAAAGAGAAACAAAGCAACAGTAAGACAAATAAAGGAATAATTAATTCGAATGTTAGATCATGAAGTGTTAGCACGTAAGCGAACTTGTGGACAAAACAACAGGCAACATGAGAGCGACAAGACAAAGTTAGCCGTCACGCATAGAAGCTAAAACTGCCAACAACAGCAGCGGTCGAATTTTGTCGATATGAAGGCAGTAGTCTATACTTAAACAGGCATGACACATGCTCTAACAAGTTAACCATGCTTGTTTTTTTTGCTGCTTCCATGAGACAACCAGTATAGCAAGGTATTAAAAGTTGATACTATCAAACTTCGTGCTTCTGACTGGTTTTTTATAGCGATTCTGAACAACAAACAATATATTCTTGATTTCTGCATCTAAGCAATGTAGCAAGGCGAACGAGCTAGGGGTCAGGTAATGTAATAGTCAAGTTAATTGTACGACGCTTTTGCTTTCAAAATAGCTTTCATAATCATTGGGCTTCAATTACATTCACAGCAAGACAGCTAGCAGATGTTAAACTGAAAATTAGAACAGCAAATTGATGCGATCATGAAGAGATCAGAAAAGATGTTATACCGGACAAATCATGAGAACATACCATGTATGATTCTAGTAAAAAGAAGTATTAGTTCTATCCACACAATTTACTCTACCATTGTGTTTTTTTGGTGCTAAGCATTTTGAATGACGAGCAACACCGAATGAAAAGAATAACTTCACAGCAAAGCTTATTTAACATGCTTTGAGATTATGTCTTAATACGTTGGCTTTTTTTACAGGAAAAGCACACAGTAGTTTAAACTTAAACAGTCCACCGGATAAATTCTTCCTATCTCAGCTTTAATTATTCAGCATTATTATTAACATTATTAACATTATTATTAGCATTATTATCGCCATTGAACAACATTGTGTGCACCCCCAAGTGGCTGGCCGACCCGGTATTTTGATTTATTCGCCTGGACGACAAGCGCCTTCAACGCGCCATTCAAGTGTTTAACGATGAGATGTGTTCGTACTCCACCCTCGACTTCATTGAAATGTACAAGAACATGCAGCCACTCTTTGACGCCCCACATGGCAACCTCGCTACCTTTTACATGGATGTGCCCGCGTCGTTTGATGCCATGATGGAACTTTTAAACTTTCAGTTTCACGGCATCCACGAGGAAGTGTCGGCTTTTGTCAACAACTTGTACAGCCTGGTCGAGAAGGCGATCCCGAAAAAAAATTGCATGGAAATCCTGTCCCCTCCGAGTGCAGGCAAAAACTTTTTTTTCGATCCTGTTCTTTCATTTTACATTAACCGCGGTACCATTCGCAACTTTAACCGCTACACTAGCTTTCCACTACAGGACACCGTGGGCCGTCGCATCCTGGTATGGAACGAGCCAAACTGTGAGTCATCCGCTTTCGATACTGTCAAAAAAATTTTTGGTGGTGATGTAGACTCCGTGGCTATCAAGTATACTGCTGACCAGACCATTTCCAGGACACCCGTCATTGTGCTCTCAAACGACGAGGTGTTTCCTGATGACGAGGCCTTCAACCGCCGCATGTGGCGCTACAAGTGGCGGGCGTGTCCTCCACTGAAGAAATACGACAAGAAAATTCACCCGATGGCCCTGGTGCTCCTTTTTGATACGTTTGTCATGAAAGAAACATACGTCGGCACGCGTCAGCTTGATCAATAAACAGTTTTTCAACCTAACATCCTGAGTACTTGGTCAATGCTTTGCATTTTCCGACTACATCGACAACGACAAGCGCGACAGCTGTCAGTTCAGTTCAGTTCAGTTCAGTTCAATAAATAAATTTCAATAAAGGTGCCATAGATAGCTGCTCAATTCCGATTATTACACTTAAATTACCGTTAATACACAACTACACCCTCCTCCCCCCTGCTTCTCACATTGGGCGGTAAGCCGATGACTAGGAGTGAAACAGCTGACTGCATCGCCCGGCGGAGGAAAACTATTAGATACGGAAAAAAAAGTGGTTGCCTCACCTGAGCGCGAACTTACTTAAGCGGCATCGAGGGTAGCAGACGATCCTTTTTCTGGCTCCACACAATCCGCAAAGAAATTTTGATGAGTAGCTAAGTGCCGACTATTCTGACTGGCAAGCACTGCCAACACTTCCACGAGCACATCATTTCAGCAGGTGCATGGTACTGACGCAACAAGAAATAACACCTGCATATGCTCGTATAAACACACACGCACAAACACACGCGCCATGCTATATAAGGGAAATAGCAGCATTTAGTCGTACGATAGTACATGTGCTATATTATTGCACTCCTCATCTTCCTGAGGTAGATTATTCTATTGGCGGTCTGCCAACAACTACGTATGTCGCAATTTCAAATCACTGATGTAATAACTTTTTTTTAAGTTTTTCCTAATGTCACATTTCGGGAGAAATAACCTGACCGCTTCAAATATTTCGTTATTTTCTTTTTAGAAGAAATTTAGGCTGAAAGCTGAAGCTGTATTTGAAGGGCCGGACACGTCCGTCATCATAGCTCTTTCTGCTGGTGCGTCATTCGAATGAGGCGCCAGCGTGACCTTGCCGGCTTAATCTATTACTAGGAGACAGTCCTGAGCCCAGAAAAAAATAAATATTGGAAATATTTAGCACGCTAATGAAAAATCTGGATATTTTTGGTGTGGTCCAAAACCTAAATTGAATATACAAAATATTGTGACTAAATAATATATTAGTGAAAGTGTTTCTATGCTTGTTACTGCTATACTTATGGCATAGAGTGTCGTTTTTTTATTGAAACAGCAATGTTAATAGGCCGAAAGGTTTAATGCTAATAAACCTTTTCTTAGCGAAGAAACATTCACTTTTAGGGCTCTGTTACCAACACTGTAGTGTGTTCTTTTTAATGATTTTCTCTAAAAATCTTGTGTGCGTGAACGATCGCTCGCATGACAACTGTTGCTGAGACACAGTTCTTTTACACAGTATACCAGTTTGCCAAGATTAATAAGCTTATAAGTGCGAAGAGCTCATGGTTGTAGTGGCCACCTCAGTGCGGCGATAATTCAGCCGCAAGGACGTTGACGACTTCACCGCTGGGGACGCCAACAATGCTTACAGAGAGCACCGATGAGCAGACCAAAGGCTGCCACTAGGACACCGTACTTCTGCGTACAATGGGTGAAGTAAAATTCCTGATTCCTCATTAAATTGTCCGCGTTTTGTGTGCGTACACTCTTAAAAAAAGGTGGTAATGGGACCTGCTACTTCCTTTACGACCCCTTTGCTGCGTATTGTGGCCATTTTACTACCTCAGAAGTATACTAGAGGTAGTAAATGTACGTGGTAGTAAATGGTACTACCTTAGGTAGTAAACATTACTATTTGAGTACGTGCACATAGAAACGCGCGCAGGGTTCCCCATCAGCGGGAAGGGGGACTTGCCGAAGGCCTTTATTAACACCCATTTTTATAATTTATTTTCCGTAAACCCCCCACACAACGTTCAGAATTGCGGATAAGAGCCCGAGTCCTGCTCTCCCCCGGCTACGGGGCTGTGGCGAAAGTTCATACGAGCGCTCCCTCTCCCTCACTATGTCAATGTATCGGGCAACTTATGCCCTACTTCTTCTAGATAATACATAAAGAGAACCCTGCTGGCACCTCCCAGTACACATGACCATGCGTGCACACAGACATCCGCTTCTGCCGTATAAAGGTAGAGGGTGCGGCCATATCTAATGTTTCTAGACCGAATGGGCCTTGAAACTTTTTCGGACAACCGAATAAAGTCTTCTAAGCAGCTAATATATATATATATATATATATATATATATATATATATATATATATATATATATATATATATATAAATATATATATATATATATATATATATATATATATATATATATATATATATAAAGTCATGCTGGGTCCAGGCAAGATTATCCGCAGTGAAGAAGACGCCCGTACGAAGTGATTTTTTTGACGTTTCGGCCGCGGGTCCAGCCTTCATCAGAATACAGTGTATGGCATGAGTGCTGTTTATATACATGTGCATATCAATAACATAAAAGTATGGAAACTGACATGAAAGGCGATATATGCGCATATATAAATGCAAATCACACGATTTGACGAAGTAGGGACAACATATTAAGAGATGCTTCACTACAACTCACCCGAGTTACCCTTCATCATTATCGTTTTTCAAGCAAAAAATATTGAACCGACAAAATCAAATTTCAGTAAATTTAGACCTGTCGTCTAATGAATCCGCCGCACTAGAGGCATTCGCATCTAAAAAGCGTCCTGAAATCTACGCATTGAAAATGAAGAAAATGTCGCGTGACGGTGTCTGGTGCCCTAACCAGAACAATGCATGCAATTCCGTCCCTTTGCAAACGAATACAGTACAAGCTTACCCCGATATTTCTTTGCCACCTTCCCTTGACAAAAAATCAGTCAAGGAGCAGAATAATATAGTAAAAACTGCGGACATTGTAATAACAGCTGAGGAACGCAGTGTTCTGTGCCGCTGTCTCAATTTCTGTCCTGCCACAGGTGGACACAGTGAATTTCAATAACTGAAAGACTTGGATAATTTTGCGCGCAACTTACGCTTGCGCGAGTTTTTTCATGACTGGCAAAATACAAATAATTTCACGAGCGCATTACCTTCTGTAAAACGTTGGGCACCTCCTTCACAACGAGACAGATGCTTAGATATGTATATCAAAGCTGTACAACGAGATGTACTACAGTCGTATCGAAAGCAAACGCCGTTTCGCCGTAACCTATCCACCAGTGAAATGAAAGCCCTAAATTACTTGTCCTCTCGCAACAACATCGTCATCAAGCCTGCAGACAAAGGTGGGGCTGTTTTCGTAATGATCAAGTCTGATTACGAAGCAGAGGCCAAAAGACAGCTAGAAGACACTAGTTTTTACAAGCATCTGGATCACGACCCCACTGAACAATTTAAATCTCTTTTCCAAAGCAGTTAGTTAGATCTTCTAGAAAACAAAAAGATGCTTGACAATGCGATTCATTCTCTTATTCCCCTAAGTCCTGTTTCCGGTCGTTTTTACCTTTTGTCTAAAATACACAAGATAAACAACCCTGGCCATCCCAATATTTCAGGTATAGGTACTGTCAAAGAAAAATTGTCAAGCTATGGCGATTCTCTGATCAGTAGTATTCCAGCGTCACTTCCGTCTTGCTTAAGGGACACTACTGACTTCGTTTTTGGTATAATTGATCTGAATATTCCTCAAGGTTCTTTTTTGGTCACACTAGACGTAGCGTTTTTATATACAAGCAATCCGCATGCAGACGGAATAGCGGCAGTCGCCAGGTCTTACGAAGCAGCATCGCCACATAAACTTATCGACAGCAGCACATTAGCAGTATTGCTCAGGCTTATTTTAGAGCTAATTAACTTTCAATTTGAAGGGCAACACTATGCCCACATTAGCGGCACGTCAATGGGCACGCGTATCGGACCCAACTACGCCAATATATTTATGGGCCAGCTTGAAAGTGAATTTTTGCAAACCCGCGCCCTGAAACCTTTTTATTATAAATGGTATATCCATGACATTTTTCTTATTTAGCCGCATGGTGAGGAGGAATTGCTTTCCTTCATATCTGACTTTAATGATGCCCATTCATCAATATCAATTTCTCACACCTATTCCACATCTACGCTTAGTTTTCTTGATGTCAGCATTCCGGTTGTAAATGATAAACTATCAACTGCTCTCTACAGGAAGCCTACAGACAGGCAACAGTATTTGCACTTTGGCAGTAGCCACGTGAAGCATTGCAAATATAGCATCCCTCACAGGCAGGCCTACCGCTTTAAAAGAATCTGCTCAGAGCAATCAGAGTTTCAACAAAATTGCAGAACACTGAAGGATGCTCTAGTCAAACAAAAATATCCACCGCAATTATTTGAGGACGCAAGAAAACGTTCCGGCATGCATAATCGTACGACAATGTTGTTCACTGCTAAAAACTTGACTCCCTCACCGCAGGCAAACTTAGTCCTTACCCATTCGGCCTGAGTTCCGCGTCTGTCGAATGTGCTAAGACAGCACCACAATATTCTGACGGAAAGTGAACGCTTAAGAACTATTTTCACCGAACCACCTAAAGCAGTGTATCTCAAAGCTAAAAATATTCGAGACATACTTTCATCATCATGATCGTCATAAACAGACTGTCCTGACACGATCAGTTGCCGTCTTTGCCGAAAACCGCGATGAAAAATATGCGCGTACATGCGCCCATGCCAACAAGTCACCAGCACTGGGTTCAACTTTTCCTTAAAAATCAAAGGCAGTCTCGACTGCGACTCCAAGAACGTGATATACTCGACAGAATGTGTGCTATGTAAAATACAGTACATTGGTGCAACAGAGGGGACTTTTAGACTGCGTTTTAACAACCCTGAATCTCAAGATAACACATTGCCCCACTTGCCCATTTCAAGACACGTGCACTTCCCTGACCACTGTTTTAAAAATCTACAGGTCACATTACTTGAATCTGGTTTCCGCACAAATAATTATAAAGCCCGCGAATCATTTCTCATCTATAAGTTCGACACCGTCACGTCTGGTCTAAATGAAAATGTAGGAAAACTCAGTTGCCTATCAATATAAGATGTATCACCCTGTCCATCTGTTCTCTACCTTGCTCAGCAAGTCACG